TTCAAATTCAAATTTAAATTTTAAATTTCTATTCCAATTCAAATTCAAAAATCTCAAACTGCAAAAATTTCAAATTTCAAAATCTTAAACTATAAAATTTCAAATTTCAAAAATCTCAAACTTTCAAATTTCAAATTTCAAAAATCTCAAACTTTCAAATTTCAAATTTCAAAAATCTCAAACTTTCAAATTTCAAACTTTAATAATTTCAATTTTTCATAAATTTAAAATTTCAAAATTCTCAAATTTTCAAATGTCAAAATTTTTAAATTTCAAATTTGGTCAACAATCGAATTTATGTGACAGATAAGTGCAGATATTCAATGCAGAGGTGTGGGAGACAATAATAAACTTATCTTTGTAATATTTCCCTGTTGATCTAACTTGTTCTTGTACACCCATTTAGCTCCAATAACCTATATTGATTTCTTATCCTTAATAGTTACTTGCAACATCAACATACAAATCTAGGTACCCTTTAATTATTTTTGGGTCCTTAAGAAGGTGAGTAGAATCACAAGTCTCTACCAAAAGCCTAAGGATAAAAGAATAGAACCATGATATAATAATCGATTATCACAACACCTTAAGAATCAACATAATTGATTATGACAACAAGAATTTTTTTTTCGAAAATTCATAATCTATTAGATTCTCAAACTATCATCTAGACATGTATAAATGTTTTGACCCTTTAGGCACCCATTCATATTTACCATTAGATATACCATAATGCTTTATGTAACATCTATTTCATGTATGACCTAATTTCATGCAATAAAAACATGTTAGTTTTCTTTGAAAATGTCTAAATGAGTTTCTTAAAGTTTTTGAAACTAGTTTCACACCTGTTTTCCTTGACTCTTTCACAAAAATAGTTTTATGAGTTTCTAGAATTTCTTTGGGTTTGTAACTAAGTCCAACTTTGCTAGAATTCCCTCTTTGATAATCTAATATAGAATCAAGATTTTCAGAAGATTTTGAAAACTTGCTTATTATTTTCTCTAACCTGAAAGTCTCATTTTCCAAATGATTACAATTTTCACAAGGTTTAACAACTTCTTTATTTTTAGACAAAGTTTTAAATTTCTCAACATCTTTCTTTAAGCACTCATTTTCTTTTTCGAGAATACCAATAGTATTTTCTAATGCATTAAACTTTTGTCTAAGTGCATTGTATTTCTTAGATAACTTGGTAAAGCCTTCATACATATCTTGATATTCTTTAAACAACTCATCATATTCATTTAAGGATTTTGTACTACTTACCTGTGATGAGGTTTCTTGTGATGAGGCTTCATCATCACTTTTTTCCATAAAGCAAAGATTTTCTTCTTCTTCTCCATCATCGCTCTCGAAAGAACTGTCTTGTGTTGTGGAAGAATCATTATCCTCTCAAGCAATATAAGCTTTGAATTTGTTCTTATAGATACCATTCTTCTCTTTCTTCTTCTCTTTCATATCTTTCTTCTCTTTCTTAAGTTTCGAACTGATCCGGTTTGATATGACCAAGCTTTCCACATCCATAGCACTCGTACTCTATTGGTTTTCTCTTTTCTTTGTTGTCTCTTTTTCCTGTTCTTCATAAAATGAGAAAAATGTTTAGCTAAAAGAGATATATTGGAATCCAAAAACTTACCTTCATTTTCACTTTCATCTTGTGAAGATTTTTCTCGCTTTTAGAGCTATCATCTTGACTTGATTCTGTTCAACATTCTTTAACCTTTGTAGCTCCATCTCATGTTCTCGCAACTTTCCAAATAGATTAGCAATATTCATTTCAGTGAGATCCTTTGATTCCGTAATAGCAGAGTGACCTTTGGTTGCCAATACCTGTCTAAGGATTTCATGATCTTTGTGTTCAACTCTCATTGTCAAAAAAATTTCCTAATGCTTTCAAGTGATTTACTATATGTGTGAAGCATGTCCGGAAATCCGTGATACTTTCATTTTGCTGCATTTGAAACAATTCATACTCCTCGATGAGTGTATTCTTACGTGCTCACTTTACTTCATTTGTTCCTTTATGTGTTACTTCAAGAGTGTCCCATATTTCTTTTGTCGTCTTGCATTGTGAGACCCCGAAAAATTCATTACGAGTTAAGGCGTAAACAATAGTGTTTTGGGCTCTTACATCATATTGGGCACACTCATTTTCATCCGAGCGTCCATTAGTCAAAAGTCTTTGGAATAGCTCCACACTCGTTGTTCTCATCGGAATGTAGGGACCGTTGAGTACAACATCCCAAACACCATAATAAAGTGTTAGTAAAAATATTTTCATTCTTGCTTACCAAAACCGATAGTCTTCTCCTTCAAATAGTGGTGGTCCGTTTATTGAGGCTCTTTCCCCGTAAACCCGATTCTCGCATAGACATCTTAACCGATCGTTTAGAAATATCTTATCTAATCAAGCTCTAGTACCACTTATTAGACAAATGGCATCTAGAGAGGGGTGAATAGATGCACAAATTAAAATAGATGACAAATTAAAAATTTATTTTAAGATGTCCAATATTTATTAATTCAATTTTAATTATCAAATTAAACAAAGATAAAGTGGAAGCAATATAATCGAGAGAGATAAAATATCAACAAGATAAAGAAAGATAGAGATAAAAATAAGGAGCGTAAGGAGAGTAATGCAGATGAAAAAGAGATAAGGGAGAGAGAATAGCACACGAGTGGTTTATACTAGTTCGGGTATAGCCAACCCTACATCTAGTTCCTAGTCAACTCTTAACACAAGAGTGACCCCAATTCACTATCTTTTAAATTTAGTTCACAAATTACAATCAACTAAGCGAGAGGAACCAGTAAAGAGTAAACTAATTAAAAAGACAATCACCTCCTTAGAATCCCACTAAGGATGAACACCTCCCTAGAATCACACTAGGGATGAACACTTCCTCTAAACAAATCAAAGGATGAAAAGTACCTCCTTTGCCACCAACACACAAAGGATGAACACCTCCCTAGAATCACACTAGGGATGAACACCTCCTCGAACAAATCAAAGGGATGAAAACACCTCCTTAGAATCCCAATAAGGATGAACACCTCCGTGAACAAATTAAAGGGAGGAAAACACCTCTTTAGAATCCCACTAAGGATGAACACCTCCCTAGAATCTCACTAGGGATGAACACCTCCTCTCGAACAAATCAAACGATGAAAATCACCTCCTTTGCCACCAACATACAAAGGATGAACACCTCCCTAGAATCACACTAGGGATGAACAACAACCACCTAAACTCTTAAAAGGGGATTAAGACAATAAAATAACAAGCAACCACCTAAACCCTAAAAGGGGGATTTAACACCAACCACTTAAACCCACAAAGGATGAAGGTAATAAAATAAGAACAGTTACATATGGGTAATGGAGACAACAAATTGTAGAAGCCTCGTAGAATGCCAACCTCCAAGAACAAGTGTGATTAACAATGAAAGCACAATAGGCAATGGAGAAGAGGGTTTTCTTAAAACATGTAAAATATCTCTAGTGCCTTGCTCCAAATTCTTTTCTCAAAACAGATTGAATGTAAATTGTATTTTTGAATATCGTAATCGTGTGTGTTTGATTTTCCATCAAAACTTACTTAAATAGAAAACAAACATCATAAAATGGTCATTGGACATTAATATTTTCGTGGATAAAAATCGGATATATTCAAAAATATTTATTCTTTAAAACAGATATATTTTTGAATTTCAATTGCCATAATCGATTATGTCGGAGTTTTGATGCATCATAATCAATTATGACAATGAAAAATGTCATGTTACTGAAATTTTATCACACTTGTGCTTTGGAGGCTTGTGCATAATATTACTTCATCAACTTTGTACCTCCATATCCAGTATTCTAAGACTCTATCTAGTGTTCAAGAATCATCTTGGGGTTGGTTGTGTCTTGAATGTTGTTGACTTGAATCATCATCAAAATCATCTCTCGAGAATGTAGGGACGTGTTTCACATTGCCATCATATCACAAAATACTAATAAATATGTGTACAAAATTCTTATTACAACTATATTTTATACTAGTTTTACTCGACGAGATGTAGTCTTTATATTTACAATATCATCCGCTCTCACATTATTAATATGATCGTAGAAATCAAGTCATATAAATAAGGGTAAGTTTATTATTCAAATAATAACTACCCATCAAATCTACCACACATATAATATTAAACAACATTACAAGAAAATCATTAATTACCAATGGATAGTTATCGACAAATATGTAATCGCTTGAAAATGAGTTATTACCGATGAAAATTACCGAAAAATTTAAAGTATTTGTGAAATTTGTCTTACTAATCTGGATATATCCATCAAGAAATGAACAATTAATTAATGATGATATATCCATTAGTAAATTAACAATTAGTTACCGATCGAATATGTAATCAGTTTGAAAATGAGTGATTATTGATGGACATTACCGATGAATTTAAAGTATTTGTGGAATTTGGTCTTACCGACAAATATATCCGCTCAAGTAAATGAACAATTAATTACTGATTTAACATTATCGACAAATATATCCATCTGCAGAATTAACAGCTTAGTTATCGATGGACATTATCGATCTAATTTAAAATATATTTTTAAAAATCAACATTAAATTAAAAAACAAAATATTTAAAATTATATAATAATTACTTAATTTTAAATATATTCTAATAAATTAATTATTCACCTAATTAAAAAATTAAATATTTTTTTATTTAATAATTTAATTTAATCATAATTAGATTAATTTATAATAATTTGTTAAATTAAATAATTTTAAAAATAAATATTTAATTATTTTTAATATTGAAAAAATTATTTTAATATAAGAATTTTAATTAAATAATAGAAGAAAAAAAGTTCTCACTCATACCCATACCTTCACCACTCATTCTCTTGACCCCATCTCCTCTCACCTTCTTCCTCACTATCACGGGCACCATACCAAGAAAAGACTCACCCTAGCCCCTCACATGGACTCACCTGCATCCTCTCTCCTCTCACCTTCACTCACAGACATCTCCTTCACCGATCGCACTGGCCCTCACTCGAGGGGACACCTTGATCTCTCCGTCTCTGATTTCACTCTCCCCCACCCTCAACCTCTACCACCGTCATTGTGCCCTAAGGCCATCTCACTCATTATTCAATCCTTCCCATCTGCGGATGCTGCACCTCTAGATGAACCACCTTAGACACGTCGTTAACCTCCTCTACCGCCTTTGCTACCGATCCTTACATCTCATCGCATCCTTAACATCGGCGCAACTGTCGTCCACCTTCTCCACACCACCACAAACCATCCCTCGGCAATCCCACAACGACCGCGCTCCCACCCCCTGAACCGCCTTCACCCTCAGCCCTCACCAGGCCCTAAATCCACTCATTTCTCCCCTACATCTACAACCGCCATCGTGGACCTCACTCTTGCCACCTGTGCCGTGAATCACCCACTCGACAGCCCGTCGCAAGCCACCACCTATGAATGCCAACAAATCCTAACCACGCCCAGCCAACCACCGCGAGCCACCACTACCAGCCACCGAGACGAGCCCCTGTAGGAGTCCCTCCTCATCGCACCACCAGCAGCCCATGTGCTTCTCGTGAGTGGTGTGCCTCCAACGCAGTGTCGCCAGCCAAACCCTAGGTCACCTTCACACCAATCTCATTCATTCTCCTCCTTGATTTGAATTCCCTTCACTTGATAATTCTCATCTGGTACTGGAGTTTCCTTTCCAATCGCTTCAGATTGGGTTGATTTTGATTGGATATGTTGTTTGTTTGTTTGATGATATCGAGTTTGACCTTGTCTGGCTTGGATTGATGTCGTTTGAGATTTTGGAAGTTATAAGGATTTGATCTGATTTTTGGTATGTGTTATGGTTGTGTGGTTTTGTTGCATTCAGTGTATTTGGTGCTGGGATTTTCATTTCATTTAGATATGTTGCCTAGTTTTGTTTGGATGTGCTCCTCGTGTATCTGATTATGGATTTAATTCGTGATTAATTCTGGTTTCTCATGCGTTGGTATAATTTTAGATGGATTTTGTTTGGATTGTGATTGTATGGTCTAAGATTCGATTATGCTTAAATGCAAGTATTTAAATCATATATGAAGAGCATTAGACTCCCTCTTCTAACCCCAAATTTTTCTTAGATGTTGTTTATGAAAACTTTTCTTCTCGGGAACTTTACTCCGCCATGCCACATAGTTTCCTATGTCTCGGATGCTATTTAAATCATATCACAACATGTGTTGTCTTTCAATGATAATAATTGTTTTCGATGATGATACTTCTTGTAGGTTAAGTGTTGGCAAATCGGACGCCAAACAAAGGCTCCTCAAGTCAGTAGGGCTATCCATACTGATTTGAAAGGGGATTTATTTGTGCCGAGGTGAGTTGAGTTCATGAATATTGTCATTTCTTGATTTAACCTGGTTGATTCTTCCTTTTATATAATTGCGCTTATTGAATTCGCATTATACTTCTATAGCTAAAGATTATACATCCACCATGAGGTGAGTTGAGTTCATGAATATTTCCATTTCTTGATTTAACCTGGTTGATTCTTCCTTTTATATAATTGCAGCTTATTGAATTTGCATTATACTTCTATAGCTAAAGATTATACATACACCATAGCTAAACACAAGAACTAAGCTACTTGGAAAAATGATATTCATTAAATGCTTATATTTCCAACATTCAAAAAGGTTCCATGAATTTTTGGATGATATTCGTAATAGGAGTGACATTTCTTCTTTGTTGTAAACATAAGCATTATCCAACATAGGACAATTATAATATAACAATTTGCAAATGGTTTGATGATGTACCTACAACCATGTAGGTTTTAATAAATTATTTTTATATTGTTTAAGCTTAGTAGTTTTATTGTGTGAATATGTGCACAATACAAGCTTACTAATTGTAACTATAATTTCAATTCATCTTTATATGTAAATATGTTTTAGTATACTGATTCCTTTTTTATTCGAGCCTAATTGCTTGAAAGTCCAATGTTAAATTAGATTTGACAACATAAAAGTAGCTTAGTATTATTATGTTGAATCCAATGTTTAATCAATGTTCGATTTACTTGGAGCATAGTTTAATCAAAATCCAATGGTTGATTTCTTTCAAACAATTCCTTCAATTGATCTTATTCTCTTCAATATTATAGAATATGGATGATATGATAGATGTTATAGTGGTAGAAGAGGTTTGAAAGAGTCTTTTGTTATAGGGGTTGAAGAGTTTATCGTAATCGAAGACGACAATATGAGCATTATGAACGTGATGGAGGGATTAGATGTCCATGCGTTAAATGCGATCGTACAAAGATTTTTGAAGGATGAAACCGTCAAAGTTCACCTTTACAAGCAAGGGTTCAAAACAAACTACTCGGATTTGGGTAGATCATGGTGAACAAATACCTAATGTTGAAGAGAATTTTGATCACAATTGTGTACACTGGCTCAAGTAGTGGTGCACACATGCCTCAACAAGACCAATTTATGTCAATGCAAGAGATGATTGTAGACCCCAAATCTTGTCCGGCCGCAATAAGTTCGGAAATTCTCTGTTTTGAAGATGTGGTCAAGGCTTCATTATGCCCCTAGTATCATTTTCTAGGTTCCATTTAAGAAAAGGAGGTTTTTCTTAGAAAAATAAAAACTAGGATTTTTGTCGGAAGGTCGGGACAACCATCCCGGATCCGCATGGTCGTCTCAACCCCTCGGGGGCCTCGGGACGACCGTCTCACTTCTTTGTAGCTCGGGACGACCATCCCAAAATTCCGCACGATCGTCCCACCCGAAAAAATTTGGGACGCGCCGTCCCAACTTCTTGGATCCGTGAGCCCTTTAAATAGGGCGCCATTTCTCCCATTTTTCACACAATTCCGAGAACTCTCTCTTCTATCTCCTACTTTAAAACTTTTCCGTGCATTTTTTGCTTTGTTTCAAAGTCCGAGTAGTCTTTCCGATTATCCTTTTTGGATTAAATCGATTAAGGAAGTCTCTTTTTGAGATATTCTGTGCTCTGTAGTATAATAATTTTTATTGTTTGAGGAGGAGTGCTCTTGTAGAGGGAGGGGACTTCCGAAAAGCATCCTCAAATTTCGAGATATATAAAAAGGTCGCTTCGTAGATTCCTTTTCCATTCCTTCTCTTTTATCACTTTGATTTTATTGCTTTTCTTTATGTGCATTAGAAGTTAGGGCCATGTAGATATTTAATTACTCGCAAGTAGAGAAATAAATAGGATAAAGGCATAATTTCTACATCTTTATTTTAGAATTAGTCCATCATAGGGGCGTTGTGGGGTGTTAACACCTTCCCCACACGTAACTAACTCTCTTACCCAACTCTCGTTATAATGGCGAAAGTTGGTTTTTCTTAAACCAACGCCTTTTCTTTTTCCTTTTTCAATGTTTAAGGTTAAAACATTGATTGTAACTTCTTAGAACCCTTTTTCGAAAACCTCATTCTTAATGATAGTTCAGTTAACAAACATTCTAAGAATGATGACCACACTTTAAAAACACGAGTCAATGAACCACCGCGTCGCAACCGACTACCTTCTTGGTTCCTCTCCTCCTTCATGGAGGGGACAACGGCGATAGATGGTGACTTCACCGGGGAAGTCATGAGAGTTGATCCTATTTAGTGATGGAATAATTCAAAAATAGTAGATTTTAAACTATGCCTCTACCCTTTCTTTGTTTGTATAACATGCTTTACTTCTATGGCTTTAATAACTGTTGTATGCTTATTTTTCGCAATTGTTTAAAATAAAAATTGTACACATACTTTGCACGCAATGAGTCCCTCTATACCCGAGGGCAAGAGTGAATACACATAGGGAGCGGGTGGTGTTTATGGCCGGCTATGGTAATAGCCTTAGTGCCGATGAGGTCATTGTCGTAAGCCACCACTCAAGGTGATAACCCTCCTCTCTCGGTCCGTAGGACGTCGAAAAGGCCTCGGGCCACGCATGGTTTAAGGATCGAGAGACCGTGGGAACCCTATAATGGGGGCACCTTGGGGACCTGGCCTTTGTGAGGAAAGTTACAATCCACCTTTATCAATGCACTTTTCTCGTAGAAACCCTTACCTCGTAATTAAATGTCATCACTTCGTTCACGGATGAGTGAATTGTTTGTGCATATGGTTGTTGCATTTTGTTTGTTACATAACATAATCATACAACAACTAAAATAAACAAAAATTCTTAAAAACACAAACAAAAAATAAAAAAAAAACCTTTGTTGCTATAACCAATCTTATCTCGGATAGTCTTCATTTAAGCTAGCCTGGTTTCGGGTTCTTTGTAAGCTAAGTAGCCACGTTGACCAACATAAGAGATAAGGGATTATAAAAACAAATGGTACAAAACAAAATGTAATAAAATGAGTTTTTATATATACAATCAAATCTTTCATGGCCAACTTTATCTCGCATAGTCTTCATTTAAGCTAGCCTGGTTTCGCATTCTTAGTAAGGCCGAGTAGCCACGTTGACCAACACAAGAGATAAGGGGTCATAAAACAAAAAAAAAATGATGAAATTTAATAAAACAATTTTGACAAAGTCAAATCATTCATACCCTCATCATTTCAAGAGCAAGTAAAACCAAAGAGAGAAAATAAGTGCATAACGCATCATCCTAATAAAATCTCTCATGCATAAACACATTCATGCTAGGGGCACTATATATGCTTAAGCCAAAGGCAAAAAAGACTCAAGTGCGTCCGTAACCTTCCACAAGGAAGGAATAAGTGTGTCGAGGTATGGTAACCTTCGTTACACTTGTCAATCCATGATTGGGAAGGAACCATTATACCAAGGTGGGTATGGTGCTCCGTGAAGCATAAGCTTTAAGGAGGATACCAAAGCCATTGTCTTAAGACATATCCATCCCATAATAAATCATTCATTCCAAATAAAAAACCTAATTCATTTTGCATTTTAGAAAGTGGTTGGTCTTCTTCCCGTCCTCACACGTGCGCAAAAAGTTAAGAGGATGAAGCAATCGGAAGAGCAAAATCGCAAGCTCACTACCGAGCTTAACTCCATGAAAGAACAAATGGTGCAGTTAATGGAGTTAATGCATCGCAGAAACCTACACAAGGAAAGCCCTCACGGTGACCACGCCTCACACCATGAGAAAGAGGAGGGCTCTAATCATGAGCTTGAGCAGGGGAGCTCTCCTACGGCCTCGACATGAGGGCGTAATCATTCGACCACCTAAAGTTTCCAAGCAACAGATTTACGCCTCGAAGAGAGGTTAAGGGCTATGGAGGGACATCATTTTGATGTGAAAGAAGCGGTCGACATGTGCCTCGTCAAGAATATCCGTTTTCCCCCAAATTCAAGGTCTCAAAATTCCCCAAGTACATGGGGATGATTTGTCCCAAGAGCCATCTTACAATGTACTACCATAAGATGGCTCCATATGCCGATAACGAGGAACTCCCGATCCACTATTTTCAGAAAGCTTGGCCGATCTGGCCTTGAACCGGTATATGAAATTGGAAGGGGGACAAGTCTAAACTTGGAAACAAATGCGTACACCTTCCTTCATTGCTAC